GTATAGACATTAGCGCGTCACTTTATCGATAACTGTCAAATTCCTACAATTAATTATAAGCCTTAATACAATGCCGATTAAGTTTATACTAGCCTTTTATAAGAACCAAACTTATCAATACAGACACAGTCGAAAACACATCAATTTTGATATTTTCTATAAGTGCAGGTACATCAGAAGTAACTTATCATATCATGAAATATTAAAAAAAATATATACATGTTAACTTTCAGTTTGAAAGTATAAAATCCACAGTATTATTATCGATGACGATAACGATATATTTATGATGCAGTGACCGATCTTCATTTATTGCGTATCAACTTGTACCATTTAAACTTAAATATAGTGAGCATGAGCATATAAGAGAAATCTAGGTGATACAGCCACGCCTAAGACAGAATTGTATTTTTCTGTCTTTTTTGAATTTATATTTTGGTTTAATAATATTGTTACTAAAATTTTATTGTAAAGAGATTGACATATTATTACGTTTGTTGAGATATTGTCTCCATTCGACAAGCCGTCTACTCTATTTCTCATCGGTTCTACACTTTGTTACATTTCTGAATAACATTCATTACTTCAGTCTTCTGCCGGATGACTTGATTCCTTAGAAAGACTGAGCGGAGACCTTTCATATTCCATGTTTCTACTCCATAGGTCATGACTGGTAGGATGCACTGATTGAATACCCGGGACTTCAGGCAGTGTTGACGAAAATATGTAACGCAGCTGCTCAAATGCTACCCAGCTGCACTTTCCTGGTGATTTCTTGCTCGAGGTTGTCCATGTTAAATCACGCATCTCTGTAGTAGGTCCCTTATTACTGAGGATCGTGGTCACTGGAACTCGTCAAACGAACAATCCTTCTCCATCGATTACGGTCGGAAGCAGCCCTCACCACCTCGCAGAACTTGTGTAGCTCCTTTCATCTGGTTAGACCAATTGTGTCGGTGACTGACCTCGTGATCTTTTTCCTTTTGTATTTCCAACAATGACCAGTTTTTCAAGGCTATCATCTCCTTTTCGCATAATGTAACCGAAGTAAGAAATTATGCGTTGCAGACACAAGCTCTAGAGTCGGAATTTAATATCAAGCTTGGAGAGAATAGACACATTTGTGCGTTTGGCTGTCTACTGTTTTCGGAGCATTCGCCTCCAGCACCACATTTTGAATGCATCTATTATCTGTCTAATTAATGACTCTGTTTAATCACAGTATTTGTCTAAGTTAACATAAGCTAGTTACAAAAGTAGCAAAGGTTTTGTAACATTTGATACATCAGATGCTAGAGCACCTCGCTTCATATTTATAGAAGCTATCGAACAAAAGTAATAATGAAATTAAGAAGCAGACAGCCAGTTCCTTACAATATGAGATACATATACAACAAAAAGTAATGATTGTAAAAAGATTTATATGTACATATGAGTTTCTCCATTTGTGAAAAAATTTATTCCACAATCGCTAGAAATTTATTTCGCGCTGCCGCACCGCCAGATTTTCCAGTAAGTTCTATAGCTTGTCTAGTAGTATACAAAGAAGTCTTGCTTCCAAGATCATAAATTGTATCAAAAAAATAACATATGTATTGGACTGACAACGGTAGTGAATACAATAATATATTATATAATCCTCTCACGTTTTCATATGTGCCCGTATGAACGTGGAGAGAAAACCTAAAAACGAACTCCCGAGAACAGTTATTGAGACACATACCGTCTTATTATTAAACGAGGATTGAAGTCGGTAGCGTAATGAATATGCACCGTGGCACGCGATCGTTGTTGTTCAGCAACTTTTGCAAGAGTCGGTCACGGGATGGGTGGCCCAAAAATTATTATCACGAAGTTAGTAAACCATTGACCGCCTAAAACAAATTGACAGTGATAGAAAAAAAAACGTCAAATTCAGACGTGCCGACTTATTTTGGTCGGATATTGGTTTAAAACTATGTACAACGTTTTATTATAAGACGGACAGAGACAGCTGATAGTTTACTGTTCAAAATACAGCTAAAAAAAGTTTTCATTAATTATTTGAAAACCAACTTTTTGTTTTGTTTCAATAACCCGGCTCTTTTAAGTACATTTTCAGTCTTATTTTATTGAAAAATGAAATTAACCTACAGATGTCGTGAGGAATTATTACAGTTTTCAGTCCCAAAATAATTTAAATACACTACCTATCTCTCATATTCTTAATTCTAAGAAAATAATTATATGAAAACCATTGTGTTAAATTATTATTATAAAATATTTGAATTAAGTACCTCATTAATTGTCCCTTTGAGTACCGTAAGCTATGATCAGCTGCAAATTTAATAAGTATTGTACATGTAATTAAACGGGACAACTGCTCATTTGTTTAATTAAATTGAGCCCCAGCAAATTATTGCTCATTTCATTTATTAAAATCTATATTCATAAATATTGATTTCATACATTTTATACTCTATACATAAATAAAACAACTTTTAAACGGTTTTATCGCGTTTGTTTTTAGTTTGATTGATCTTTCGGATCCATTACAGGTTCCGTGTTCACATAAGACTGAGGTGTTGATTGTCTTTTTAATTAAGAAAATCGCGTTAGGCAACACGTAGCTGAGGTTAAACCCTCTGTTTAAAATAAATGTGTAGTGTGTGAATATGCATTAGGAGGGAACAAGCATTACATAAAATTTAATAAACCAAAAATTCTGAACTGACTGAACAAAGATTCGTTCCTAGATAATACTCGAGACTATTGAAATTAAAAAAATATGAATTCCTATGTCAATTAAAACCACAACCCAGGTCACATATTGCAAAACCAAAAGATACAATTAGTTCATTCTGTAAATATTAAATCAAAGGGAGCAATTCACTTTTCTTGTTGGAAGTTCGTTTCGCCAGTTCTCCTTAGACATGACTCCCAAATTTGGAACTAGTGGCAGATTACGATAGCAAGGGGTAAATAAATATGTCAAATGTATTTTTAAAATAATTTTATTTAATAAATGTTAACATTTCCATATATATATATATATATGTCGCATCATCATTACGAAGATCGTTTGATTTAGTTTCTTTTATTGTAATTGCTAGTTACTCGATTACTTAATTACTCGATTGTAAAGAGAGCGTGGTCATCGATACCCTTAATTTTATTAGAATGATGTCACTGACTCTTACAGTTCGTTAATAAAAAGCAAGTTGCCGCCATTTTGGCACACACTCTGTTTCCGATCGCCGAGGAGTAAAGACATCCGATGACATCATGCTCATCTCGTTATATTTTCGTATGAAAAGTGATAAAATGGAACAAATCCACGTTGGTATACACGCCTGCGGTGTTATTTTAAAGATAGTCCTCCGATATGGACCATCTATTTGGGCTTCGTAATAGCCCCTTCGGACTACCCGCCGTTATATATATATATGTGTGTGTGTGTCCAATGGTATTTTTTTAAGATAACTATACTCTTAATTAAAAAGATAACCAGCATCTTAGTCTTATATGAACAAGGAACCTGTAAAAGGTTCAAAAGTCAATAAAAGTAAATACAAACACGTTGAAGCTGTTTAAAAGTAGTTTCGTTCATATTTATGAAAAATATAAAACACTTATCTAAAAAGAATAGAGAGTTTTACCAACAAATAAAACTTACCTATTATTTTTTCATCAATATCCGGAATCCATCTTCAGTCAAGCACCTGTCTTTCTACCGTCTAAGTCAGCATTTCCGGTTCCCCTCCGATAGTGGCGCCCCCTCTTCTTGTCAACGAACTTATATATGCGAGCACCAGGTGACAGCCCGCCATTATAAATCTCAAGATACACCAGGGAAACTTACCTGGATTCCGGATATTGATGAAAAAATAATAGGTAAGTTTTATTTGTTGGTAAAACTCTCTATTATTTGTTTTGTATCAATATCCGGAATCCATCTCGAGTGATCTGTTTGTTATTCCCTGGTGCGAGAAACTATGTAATTAGACGCTATAATGTGTAATGAAGTATAGTTATTTAAATAAGAGACTATTCAATAGAAATTATTACATCTTAATTAATTAAGTATGTGGCATATTCCGCCCGCTAGGCTAACAAAATAAATAATCTTAAACTTCTAAATTAATAGAATATCCCATTATTATTATCTTACAGGCTCAAAATAATTCGACAATGAGATAGATTCATTTGGATTCAGAGAATTTTTATCTAGCAACTCTTTTTGATAATATTTTTGAAACGTGTGAATCATTTTCCAATTTCCAGTTAGGAGTATTTGATCTAGGGAAAAATTCTCTACAAAATTAAGAGACTCCACTGCAGACCTCACCGAGCCAGGGGTAGCTTCAATACCACTTTCTTTTAAAAGGGATTTTACCCAACCCCCGATCACTGTTTTTTCGAGAGTTTTGCGATAGTTGCAATAATTGTTTTAACCAAAATACTATATTTAATATATGACTAGGGTGTTCCTTAAGCCTCCATCCAGATTGTCTATAATTAGAATTATCTGTTTTTGAACCAAATACTGGCCATAATAAAATGCTATTATTTTCGACGATCAAATTATTACTATCTATCCGCAACAAAGTAAGATCATGTACTCTACGCCCAGAAGCTAACAATAATAATGTAGCAGTATGTCTTGACACGTGATAAAGATTATTTTCGTCGAAATTGTATGAACATAAATAGTCTAATAAAACTTTAGGGTTCCAAATTGGTGATTTAATAGGTTTTTCGCGGGCAACAGAAATAGCTTTAATCATATGTTTTACAAAAAAATTTGAAGATAAATCTACACTAGAGTTTAAGTGCGTAAATGTTGAAATTACAGACTTATGAACTAGAATAGTTCTGTAGGCTAAACCAATATCACAGTGGAGATGTGCTAAATAACGAGCAACCTGATTTGCGTTGGGATATTTATAATTAATTGAACGTGACTCACACCAATTTCTCCATCTGTTCCAAGCTGGCATATAGGTATTAATTGTAGATTTTCACCAGCTTGACATTAGCAGCCTTTGTTCTTGTGGAGTCCACTCTGTCAGCATGTCCTGCCACCCGAAATCAGCCATGCCTCCAGGCGCAGTTCTTGTACCTCTGGTGCGTGTGTCCCGGTCGTGGTGTCGAGGAGAACCTGCGCTAAGTCTGGAATCATGAATGGAAGTTGAAGTGCCCAACTTTGAACATCTGGGCGCCAAAATACCTTGTTCCACTTCGGGGCTATCAGAATGTTCTGACCGCTGGCCTGGTTCAGATGACGGAGTACTCTCGGGATTATATTCGGCGGTGGAAACAGCCATACGAGTTTGTAATTCCACCGGTGACGGAAGGCATTGTAATGCTGCGCTTCTGGGTCGCTTATATCCATGGATACATACCTCGGCACTACGTGAGCTATTTTCGAAGCAAACAAGTCTATTTCCGGTGTGCCCCACATTTGAAAAATTGTTGTTGTTGCTGCTTGCGTCAAATGCCACTCGGGTTGGACCCTCTGACGTGATAGTGCGACTACTTCGGCATTGAACCTGCCTGGAAAATACTGGGCTATTATATGGACATTTAATTTGTCTAGAGTCTGTATCAGATGCTGAGTTTGTTCCAGAAGTCTTTTTGATTTTGTTCCGCCCTCTTTGTTTATATACGATACTACAGTGCGGTTGTCCGTCTGAAGAAGCACTTGAGCATTACGAAGCTGATGCGATTGATTTAGTATTGCCGCATGAACAGCAAACATTTCCTTCTGGTTCGCGTGCCATGTCTGTTGTTGTTTCGTTCAGGTTCCCTTGATATTCAAGTCGTCGAGTTGTGCACCCCAACCTATGGCGGATGCATCTGTCGTTAATAATTGGGTTAATGCTTGCGTGTGTATCGGCGTGTAACCTCCTAGTGTCTTGTACCACCATTCCATCTCTGATCGAACCTGTTGAGGAATTTTTAGTAGACGAAAGGGACACGTCTTTGGCAACTAACGACTGAAGTATTGTAAAGGGCGACAATGAAGCCGTCCCCTTTTTGTCACAAATGAGGCAAAGTTGAGTCGCCCCATCAAGGTCTGGTATTGTCAGAGGGACCACTTGCCATTCCTGAGCTGTTTCTGAAGTGCTTTGCGTAGCGATAGGCACTTCTGCTCAGACAAGGACTTTGCGTTGCGTTTCGTGTCCCACATTATGCCGAGAAACTCGAGGCACTGAGTCGGAGCTAACACAGATTTGCTGTGATTGATTGACCAGCCTAGTATTTGCAATGTTTTTACTGTGTATGCTATGTCGTTTTGCAATTGACTCTTGGATTGATTGGCTAAAAGAAAATCGTCCAGATAAACTACACACCTGATACCATGATTCCTTAGGTATTCCGCTAACCAGTTGGTAATCGTTGCGAATATTCTGGGTGCCGATGAAAGACCGAACGGCAAGCATGTCATCTGCAGCAACTGATGTTGATGAGGATTGCGGTGATAATTGAGTCTCAGGAATTTGCGATGCTTTGAGCAAATAGGAACATGAAAATAGGCTTGGTGCAGGTCTAACTTTGCCATCCAGTTCTGATCCTGCAGAAATTCTGGAACACGAAAATGACTGAACAGTTTGAAAGGTTTTGTTTGTACGAAACGGTTCAGATGCTTGAGGTTGAAGATAGGACGAAACGCTCCCTCTGATTTTGCCACCAAAAAGAACGTTGATAGGTAGCTGGGACCCTCTTCCGCTTCTTCCAGAATTTCTGCCTCCAGCATTGCCTGAACCTGTGCAGTCATTTGACAAGACGATTTGGTTCTGTAGGATTGCATGATTATTCTGTTTGGAGATATTAGCGGCGGTTTCATTACGAAAGGTATGCGAACACCGTTTAATAATCGACAAATTTCCTTTGGTGCACCTAAATTGCTCCAAGCATTTTGAAATTGTTTTAGACAACCGCAGCGAAAGCGCGTCGAGTCATTCATGATGCTTACCTTTAAATGAGGAACGGCCATGTCGTTTTTTAAGCTGTTGTTGTCTAGTTTTATTGGTAGGTTTGCCTGTCTGTTGATTGGCAGGGCGAGGTGCACGCTTACCCCTTTTTGATGAATAGTCTTGACGAAAAAATGTATCATCAGTTTGTTTGCTGGTGGATGGTCTTTGATTGTCATAGAAGTTTTTGTTAGATTTAGCTTTATGAGTTGGTTTCGACACAAACGATAGTTTTTCTTCGTTAAAGAGTGAAACTGAACTTGGGGGAATTTTATACAATACGTCGCGATGATATGACTCAGGAATTTGTCGTAATAAGGAATCTCTGCGATTGGTAATAAGATCTGTTCGCCTTCCACAAATTATTTGTAACAGATCATCTGTTACTTTACTATATGCGGATTCTTTAGAAAATGTTGTTTGTATTTTGTCAAATAAGGAACTGGGTGTTAATGTTTCTTTGGAATCATATGCCCAGTCTACAACCATATGTAATGACTTATGCAATAACTCTTTTTGAGAAAGTAAGGCATTAGTCAAGCTAGCGAATGAACGCTCTAATAAATATGAACGTGAATCTTCTTTTAACATTGCGCTTTCGTAACGTTTTAATTCATCGTTGACACTAAGTTCAATAAAACCGGGGGTGGACAAATATTTCTTTTGAGCATCAGCAAAACGAACCGCATACCAATCGGCATAATTAAATCGTTGTAATTCGACTAATTTATTCACAAAACTTTCATTTGATTTGGTATAAATAGGATCTTTAACCGTGGTACCCACATCTGACAAGATGTTCAGTGTGTTACTATTATCAAGTTCCGGGCGGTGTAACCTAAACTCGTTTGTAGTCACATTTGTATCCTCGATATTCAATTGACAATCCTTATTTTCTAAACTGGCCGTTATGAGGTTCGTTAAAAGCGATACTTGTTGAGATAAAATTTCAAATTGTGCATTACTCACAGTTGCGGAATATTTCCTTGCCTTATTTCTAGGGCTTGAATCCCTATTCGCCGAGTCGCTATCGTCGCTGCTGGAACTTGATGATAGAGAATGCGTTCGTTTACGGTGATTCAAACTTTCAGCTACACTATCCGACACAGTTTTTTCACTTTCCCTATTTTGATTCTCCATCACGACGGAGAGAAACCGCTGTATTTTAATATATTTTATAACTTTTTTCGCGAATAATTTTACGTAATCTAAGCTGACTTGCACGGCGCGAAAAACGACGCTATAATGGCGGGCTGTCACCTAGTGCTCGCATATATAAGTTCGTTGACAAGAAGAGGGGGCGCCACTATCGGAGGGGAACCGGAAATGCTGACTTAGACGGTAGAAAGACAGGTGCTTGACAAAAGATAGATTCCGGATATTGATACAAAACAAATAATGGCAAAATTGTCTAAAATATTGCGGATTTCAAGACTCTAATTTAAGATCATGGAGTCTAGATATCGTTAATTAAATACCTTATAACTTCACGTCTACGTAAACGCGACCAAATAAGTTAGAAACTCTTTACAAAGCACCCTCAACAATGCCCCGTAATTTCGGTTAGCTATTTAGCTCAAACGTGGAAGCAGGTGCTTTTGGTTAAACTTAATTAACAGGTAACTTAATGAACCATATTTTGACATTAGATGTTATAACTTTGTCGTGGTGTTTTCTTTCCAACTTTTTAGTATTATGACGTACATCATCAGTCTCGTATTTAAGTCCTTACTAAGGGGCAAATGACTTCCTACGGCAAATCAACAGCCCTTTCACGTCCCCACTGCAGGGGCTTAAGCCTTCCTTATGAATGGTCAAGGAAGGATGCCCACGCTGGCCCAATGCGGATTGGAGGGTATGAACGATTGCAAATACGGCCAACTAACCTTTTAACGTGTCTTCCGAAGCATGAAGTAGCTCCAGATTATAATGTTTTGGTCACCCATCTCATGACCAACTTTTGTGAAAGTTGCCTAACAATAACCACGGCACCGTGCTGCTTCATTCCTTGTGGACAGAACAGATAGGCATAGCAATGTATAAACATCACGCGGTCCAGTGTACCGGTGGGTACAACAACTGCAGATGCGGCCAAGATCAACTAATGTACTTTTAAAAGTATGAAGGAGCTTGAATTAATTATTCTGGTCACCCACTCGATGAGCGGCGCCATTGAAACGTTTCAGACGTTTCTTATCCTTTCAAGGTTCTATGCTCACTAGACTCGGGTGTTGATTGTCTTAAAATAATTAATAGCATAATTTACTTTCAAGCAATACTTTTTGGACTTATCTATTATAATAAAAAAATTAAATGGAAAACTATTTATACATACTAAAATTACTTACAACTTCCAGTTTCAAGGTTGCACCATATCTGGGACTTGTGTTCATTCCCAATCATTTTTAAATCTCGGCAATGTATGTATTGTAGTATTTTATTTATTATTATAAAATATTTATTTTATCAACACAACGTTTCGGGAATACTCAAAAAATTTTTCACAAATATTCTTTTTATTAATTTTCCAAATTTTTTAATTTACTATCGCTTGAGAAATTTAACTTAAATATTAAAAATCACTTTACAGTAAACATCTTTATTTTTTTTATAAAAGTAAGCTTATAAATAACGCTTCTGACTAGTATGTTATTTTTAGTGCTAGTACAACAAAAAAAAAAGAAAAGCAATATGGAGCAGCCGCCTAAAATCCCACACAAGTCGTAAAAGTAGAATTAGCGATAGAGATTTATGGTGCACTTTATATAGGCTTACTGTCACTATTTGAGAGATAGATGACGAAAATTAGTACTCATTTTATAGGCTGTATGCGTCGTGTATCTTCTGAATGAACAAGTATGAATAGCATACAGAAACTTCATACTTATACCAATTATAAATTTATGCATCATACCTCTTTTAACCGGACATGCAGCGAAGCTTACAAGTACTTACAAAGGAGTTCCAGAACTTAAACACGAATAATAGTAACTTATTTGTTGATTTAATACTATATAGGTACGTGTTGTGTGTTGAAAAATATAAAGCCTGATCTATTCTTAATATATTTTATAGAAATAAAAACTCATAGGAATGTTTGTTATTATTTGAAATCATTATTATGATTCATATGAAGAATTTATTTCTAACATTTGAGACATACAATTTTTTCATTTATTTCATTCTTTATATGGTCACTATTATGTACCCGATAGTGTAAATTTATTTATTTTACCCCAATGAAATTATAACAAACACTACTTCACATAATTTAATTAGTTTACATTTTAAGTTCAATTGTGTTATGTAGTCATAATTTCATTATGTATACTTATTAATTATAAAGAATATGAGCAAAACCTAAAAAAGTTTAATTAAGACCCTCATTAATTAAATTCATTCCATTTCGCTTTACTTAAGCTTTTCCTATAAAAACAGAAATTAATTAATCCTGTGTAAGCTCCGTAAAATGTTCAAGATTCCGTTTTGCCACTAAACCAATAATTTCATCTGATCTTTCGAAATAACGACGAAACAATATAACTTTGACGTAATTTACTTATAGAGTGCTTATCCGACTTAATGAAATCTGTTTCTATTGTTTACCATCAATTAATTCATTCAGAGATAAATCTGCTCAAGTAGACGATTTCGTTTTTTTATATTAAGGTCTTTGTTGATCACACAGACACACACAGACATTGACACAGAAGTTGCTTCAGGAATCAGGAGTTTTTTTTTTCTCTCCCTAATCAAAGAAACAATGCTGTATCTCTTTTTACTGTATGTATAATTCCACTTCTATTTTGTTAAAAGATACGTGTCATAAATTCCAATAATATTTTATCAATTTTGCATACACAATACAACACTACGACAAGAACGGTCAAAGTAAAAATAATAACAATTGCATTTTGTATTTTTGCAACTGCCAAACTTAAAAAATGAAATTAAGTTCATTTGTGACCCTTTTCTATATTATTTCATAGACAACCTTACAACCTTCTTTCCTCAACAATCAACGTGAAAAACTTAGATTTCGCTGTTTTTAATTAATTTCGCGCCGATGTCTTGGTTGAAAAAACTTACAGAAGATAGATAAAAAGTTAACGACCTTCATTTCAATACCATGATTAATGTTGCTCTACTAGAATTCATCAGTTTTATGAAACGTGGGCACAATGTCAATAGAAAGAATTTTCAGGTGTTAGTTTACTAATTAACTCGGTTAATGCGCTAGCTACGATGAGTCAGAAACTAATGTGAAGCAAAGTGATTATTTAGGTGAATATACCGCATTAAAAACATTTCCATCAAATTAAAAGGTGACGGTAAAAAGAAGTTTCTGATGACTAATGAAAAAAAAGGAAGAGACATATAATAAATTTAAACTTAACAAAGATTCATCTAAAAAAAAACAGCAAAATAAAACTATATTGAGTTAAAAATCCATTGCAATAAATATGAATTTTAATTATCTAGCAACTTTCACAGTCATAAGAAGAAAGTAACCAAATATGGAGTATCTAAAAAGGAATACTGCAATAAAATAAATCTAAATGACTATTTATAGAAACTTTAATACTTTTTAAAATAAACCAAGCGAATGTCGAAACGAACGTCAAACACTATGGATATTTCAAAAAATCCAAATACGTAAAAATTGGCAAAGGAATATGTAATTTTTCGATAACTGGTATGATAAAAAGAAAACTGGAAAACAGGTATTGAGAAAAGAGAAAAACGTTTTTTGTCATTTATCCATGAAATAGAATATGTGTTGAAAATAAAAATAAGCTCGATTTCGTATGAAAACAACATTAATTAAACATAATGGTAATTATTTCTTTGTTCAATTAACCAGTGAATACACGATTCAATTAAAGCGTGAAAAAAAAATTAAGATTCAATTGGATACCGTTTCATAACCCAACAAGAGTTAATTTTGATCAGTCAATGAGTTTCAGGGGTGTCGCCATCTGGCAAAGGGCACAGAAACCATGTTTTTGACATACATTTCAATTCGACATGCCCCGTCAAGATATTACGATATTTCGGAAGCACAGATGTGACAAACCTTTGAATTAAGGTTCGATATACAAAATTGAATATGAATTATCCACCCGGTGTTTGGAATACTTGATTGTTTAAGAGTTTATTAAATGTTCTATCCCTTTTAAGAAGGGACCGATCTATATAATAGGAATAAGCAGGGCTTGCTTAGAGAAAAATAAAAATATGTACTACATTTAAGTGGCAAAAATAAGGGCGGTGGCGTTCTTAACGGAATGTGTCCTATATTTTATCTATAGGATGAAAAAAATATCTCTCTTTCTTTAATACTTTAATAGCCCAAAGCATATTCTTTTATAGTCCAAAACATGTTACATATTCATCAAAAATGTTCATTAAAAACAAAGAATCGAAATCGTGCATGGTTCTTGTTGGAAATTAAAGATTTATTGTACTCCTTACTATAAAATTGTAACCAGGGTAAATAAACAATTAAGTGTAGCTGTCTGTTGTACATTCGAATTTGAATAACACACTTCTTACCAGCAAGGAGTACATTATACAACATTACTTAGTAAAGGTCTTCCGCCTCCAGCTATATCACTGCATGTCATCTTTGAATTCGAATACTGTCGCTTGTCTTTTGATATTTTATATTTCAGGAAATGATTTGCATGGAACTGTTTGTAATATTCTCTTTGCATCCAATTTCGGTTGGGGTGTGATGAAATTCAAAGGGTACAAGACAAAGTAGCTTTGTCTTTTATTTGCTTCAGGCTTTGAACCTTTAATATTACATTTTTAGAGTTACCTAGTTGATATAGAAACTGTATTTTGTAAAATTGCTGTATATTTTATTTCGATATTATATACGTAATACAAAAAGATATTTCAACGCCATTTTCTTTCATCCATTGTCATCTTTCTTTCAAAGGAAACGCCTTTTGTTTCTGAAGTAATTACTCGCAATCAGACAACAACTGAGATATAATTATCGGAAAATTCATACATTAGCTACTGATTTTTAAGCAGTCCCCAAGATGACCCCAAAAATCTTTTGTCTCTGTTAAACGACGATGTAAAAGCTTGGTGCCCTTGTTCTATTTCTGTGTTACGAGGGTGCTTTG